CCCTAAACCCTAAACCCTAAGCCCTAAGCCCTAAGCCCTAAACCCTAAACTCTAAACCCTAAACCCTAAACCCTAAACCCTAAACCCTAAACCCTAAACCCTAAACCCTAAACCCTAGAAGCACCGAAGCCCGAAGACCTCAACCCACAGACCTACATGTTGCGTTCTGAGCGCAGAGGCTTCGATGGCAACGGCGGCGGCGTGAACACGCCTCCCTTCTCAGGCCGACTTGGGTTTAGGGTTTAGGGTTTCAGGGTGGTGAGAGAGGGAGAGAGAGAGAGAGAGAGAGAGAGAGAGAGAGAGAGAGAGAGAGAGAGAGAGAGAGAGTATCTGGTAGAGGGAGAGGGAGAGGGAGAGGGAGAGGGAGAGGGAGAGAGAGAGAGAGAGAGTGTGTGTGCTGAAGATGTTTTTGGAGATGGAGCTTGGGATTTCAGGGTTTAGGTTCTAGGGTTTCAGGGATGACTTTGGGGGGCATAGGGCTTTTAGGTGTAGTAGGTTCGCTTTTGTCTGGTTTGGGCTGCGCTCCTTATCCTTAACCCCAAATCCTGCGATTGTCCTGTGACAATCAGCTTTTGAGGGAACCCTTGAGGCCTTCAGTGGCGAGTTTTTGTTGACGGTTTAGGGTTTAGGGTTTAGGGTTTAGGGTTTAGGGTTTAGGGTTTAGGGACCCTGAACCCTAAACCCTAAATCCTAAACCAAAAGCCCTTCGTGCTTTCAATCATGTGTGGCAGGCCGCTGTGCCGGTTTTCCTGGTTTTGGGAGCCTGGAGCCCTCCAGGGCAGGTGTAGGGTATGTACGGTTTAGGGCTTAGGGCTTAGGGCTTAGGGCTTAGGGCTTAGGGCTTAGGGCTTAGGGCTTAGGGCTTAGGGTTTAGGGCTTAGGGCTTAGGGCTTAGGGCTTAGGGCTTAGGGCTTAGGGTTTAGGGTTTAGGGTTTAGGGTTTAGGGTTTAGGGTTTAGGGTTTAGGGTTTAGGGTTTAGGGCTCATGGATGGGTGGCTTTGCTGCCTTGGACGGCGTGGGGAGCATTAGAACCTGACCAAGCTTTCGGGAGCCTATTCGCTTTGTGGTGCTGTCCTGTCACTTTTAGATCCTTAGCCTTGGGCTTATTGGGTTTCCTAGCCCTAAACCCTAAACCCTAAACCCTAAACCCTAAACCCTAAACCCTAAACCCTAAACCCTAAACCCTAAACCCTAAACCCTAAACCCTAAACCCAACCCTAACCCCTAAACCCTAAACCCTAAACCCTAAACCCTAAACCCTAAACCCTAAACCCTAAACCCTAAACCCTAAACCCTAAACCCTAAACCCTAAACCCTAAACCCTAAACAAAATCGAGCAGATCATCGTCCGCCAGGCGGGAGCTTCCCTGCCATGGTGGACAACGGCCGCATCGCCTCCATTGAGATGCACCTCAGAGGGTTTAGGGTTTAGGGTTTAGGGTTTAGGGTTTAGGGTTCAGGGTTCAGGGTTTGAGATGCACCTCAGACAGCTTGGGGTTTTCTAGGGTTGCTAGCGTTTGGGGCTTAGGGTTTGGGGTTTGGGGTTCTGAGGTGGGTTTAGGGTTTAGGATTTGGGTTTCTGGGGTTTAGGGTGTTGCGCTTGGTACCGAAGCCCTGACTTCCTGCCGGAACCTAAGACTAACACCCTATATAATCCATAACCCCCAGACCCCCCCAAATAAACCCAAACCCTAAACCCTAAACCCTAAACCCTAAACCCTAAACCCTAAACCCTAAACCCTAAACCCTAAACCCTAAACCCTAAACCCTAAACCCTAAACCCTAAAACCCTAAACCCTAAACCCTAAACCCCTAAACCCTAAACCTAAACGCTCACCTTAAACCCTAACCCTAAACCCTAAACCCTACACCCTAAACCCTAAAACCTAAACCCTACACCCGAACCCTAAAACCCTAACCACTAACCCCTAAACCCTAACCCCTAACCCCTAAACCCTAAACCCTAAACCCTAAACCCTAAACCCTAAACCCTAAACCCTAAACCCTAAACCCTAAACCCTAAACCCTAAACCCTGAACCCTAAACCGCTGTTCCGCTGTGGTTCAATTTGTGGACCCGAATCCCTATGTTTTGCTCATGTTTCTTTACAGCTCGCCCTGGGCACTGAACCCTAAACCCTAAACCCTGGATCATAACCCCGGAAACCTAACCCCTAACCCCTAACCCCTAACCCCTAACCCCTAACCCCTAAACCCTAAACCCCAAACCCCAAACCCTAAACCCTAAACCCTAAACCCTAAACCCTAAACCCTAAACCTATATGTGGTCATGTGGCCCGGCCCCCCCCCGCCCCCCCTAAACCCTAGACCCAAAATCCTAAACCCTCAGCCTTAAATCCTCAATGCTACCCCTGCCTCGAGTAATAGAGGGGTCGAGATAGTTTCCAATGTTATTCCCTTATGGTCCCTTCATAAATATACCCAAAACCCTATTCTAATTATTAATTCACCTATATTAGGTCCCTCTATAGTTATACTATCATACCCCTCCAAACCCCTATTCTAATTATACTATAATCACCACCCCAAAACCCTATTCTCAAACCCCAAACCCCAAACCCCAAACCCCAAACCCTAAATCCTAAACCCTAAACCCTAAACCCTGAGCCCCAAGCCCTAAGCCCTAAGCCCTAAGCCCTAAGCCCTAAGCCCTAAGCCCTAGGCCCTAAACTCTAAACCCTAAACCCTAAACCCTAAACCCTAAACCCTAAACCCTAAACCCTAAACCCTAAACCCTAAACCCTAAACCCTAAACCCTAAACCCTAAACCCTAAACCCTAAACCCTAAACCCTAAACCCTAAACCCTAAACCCTGCCCGCCTGCAGTAGACGCCTAGGCGCCTCGCGGATGTCATGTCACAGCTCGAGACAGTCACCAACATCATGCAGGGGGTGGCAAACAAGGCTGGGGTTTTAGGGTTTAGGGTTTAGGGTTTAGGGTTTAGGGTTTAGGGTTTAGGGTTTAGGGTTTAGGGTTTAGGGTTTAGAGTTGAGGGTTGAGGGTTGAGGGTTGCATCATGCAGGGGGTGGCACACAAGGCAAGGGGAGGAAAGGGCTTACAGGGGTTGTAGGGTTTTTTAGGGTTTAGGGTTGAGGGTTTTGGATGCCCAGTCGTGCACTTTGTTCCCCTTTTTATGGGGATTGCAGGGTTTACGAGGTTCATTGGGCTCGCAGGGTGTATTGGAAGTTTCGGCCATGAAGCAAGTGCGTGACATTAATAGGCGGTTGCAGGAGGCGAGAGCCCGGAAGATCTTTGTCACAGACGGGTCTATCCGTCTCAAATCTCAAAACCGAAAGCCCAAAACGTACAATGCACGTTTACGTTTTCGATTTGAGGCGTACAAAGCCAACCCTAAACTCTAAGCCTTAAACCCAAAGCCCTAAACCCTAAACCCTAAGCCCATATCAGGCAGGAGCAACGTGATACAGCTTGAGGGCCTTATGATGCTGCACTGCCGACATCGGATCCATCGTGGATGGTGGCTAGCTCTAGGGAATTTGGGTGGCTTTATGTAAACCTCTAAACCCTAAACTCTAAACCCCTACAGCGTGAACCCTATCTACTTTTTGTTCCTTTCTGTCAATTCCTGGCAAGTGGGGGCCCGGCGCTGCTGTTGCAGCTCCTGTCGAGCTGCAGACGTTGCGCACGCCCAAAGCCGCAGCGCGTGTGCGTGAGTCCCGGACTGCGTCGACAGAGACTGAGATTCTGGATGTTTGGCGACACGATCAGCTATCTCACTCCCAGACCGCCCGTGGCCTTGAGTTCGGGCTTCACGCATGGTGTGGGCACCTGAAGGATGGGGCCTAGGGCGCAAAGGCCATGTTGGTTGCCCTGGCGGGAATGGCGTCGGACGGAGGGAGATGTGCGTCAGTCAGGGCTCGTGGTTCATGGGCCAAGTGCAGCTGCAGCCTTCTGCGGCGCAGCTGCAAGCCCTAGACATTCCATCGCCAAGCCCTGCAGGATTTGAGATGTAGGACCGAGGGTGTCCCTAAACCCTATAACCCGAAACCCTAAACCCGAAGCCCTAAGCCCTAAGCCCTAAGCCCTAAACCCTAAACCCTAAACCCAGAAAAGGTGGAGCACTTCGACAACTCGCAGGAGGCCATCTGCCAGCGCCTGGACTTCGCGCAGCAGGCCGAGCTTCGGGTTTAGGGTTTAGGGTTTGGGGTTTGGGGTTTAGGGTTTGGGGTTTGGGGTTTTCAGGGTTTAGGGTTTTCAGGGTTTGGGGTTCGTGGTTTTCAGGGTTTAGGGCTTCGGGCTTGGGCCTGAGGGTTGCGGGTGGCCGTTTGCTCAAGTCGAGTTGGGTCGTCGAGTTGGTTCAGGGATCAGGGTTCAGGGTTTAGGGTTTAGGGCTGAGGGTTTAGGGTTTAGGGTTTAGGGTCTACAGCCCACGGGCGCAAGGGCATTGCCAGAACGAGCATGTTTCTAAGGCAAGAGTGATTTTGGCCCGACTCCCATACCCAAGCACTCAACCCGACATATACCTAAACCCTAAACCCCTAAACTACGATGTGTTGATCTGATGTTCCCCCTTTGCCTCCCGGCAAGCTGAGACAGAATTTAGGGTTTAGGTCCAGAGTCTAGCACATCATTCCCTAGGCCCAATGCAGAGCTCAGCGATTGTAGGGAGTTGCAGGTATGCGCTAAGCCCTAGAGGGTCTTCGGGTCTAGGGTTTCGGGGGGGGGGGGGGGGGGGGGGGGGGGGGTGTCCTAAAATCCCGAAGACCAAAGTCTGCGCTGCAGGCACAGCTCCAGACCCTGAACTCGTCCCAGGCCAGTTTGTGGGTTTCGGGTTTTTCGGGCTCTAGAGCTTTGAGGCCAGTTCTCAATGAGTGCTCCCTATATGGCTGTTTCCCAAAATAGGGCCCAAATAGAATAGAATCCCCTTAAAGGGACCCCTATGTTCGCAAACCTCAGATTATGTGGTTTAGCCTTTTTGGAAGAGCATCCTTTGAGCAAGCTTCCCGTATCTGAAGCTTACGTACCCAGAAGCCCCACACAGCCTCAAGCCCTGATATTCAGGCTTGAGGCTTAGAGGGTTTAGGGTTTAGGGTTTAGGGTTTAGGGCTAGTAGGGTTTAGGGCTAGTAGGGTTTAGGGCTAGTAGGGTTTAGGGCTACTAGGGTTTAGGGCTATTAGGGTTTAGGGCAATTAGGGTTTAGGGCTACTAGGCTTGAGGGCTACTAGGGTTTAGGGGTTTAGAGTTTGCGCAAGGTCTCTTTTTTGGCGTGCTGTCTTAGAGGTTCCCCACAAGCCCCGCAAAGGGCTTGGGGTCAGTAGGAGCCCACAGACCCCATATGCCCCTTGAGGGTTTAGGGCTTCTTTGGGTACCCTAAACCCCTACACCCCTAAACCCCTAAACCCCTAAAACCCCTAAACCCCTAAACCCCTAAACCCCTAAACCCTTAAACCCCTAAACCCCTAAACCCCTAAACCCCTAAACCCCTAAACCCCTAAACCCCTAAACCCCTAAACCCCTAAAACCCCTAAAACCCCTAAACCCCTAAACCCCTAAACCCCTAAACCCCTAAACCCCTAAACCCCTAAACCCCTAAACCCCCAAACCCCTAAACCCCTAAACCCTAGTATCCCTTTGGAGGGAGGTTTAGGGTTTAGGGTTTAGGGTTTAGGGTTTAGGGTTTAGGGCTACCCTAAGCCTCAGCCCTAAGCCCTAAACCGCAAACCCCCCCCAAACCCCCCCAAACCCCCAAGGTTCTCCTCCACAAGATCGACTCGGCCCAGGAGGTGGCTCGGTTCAGGGTTTAGGGGGTTTAGGGTGTTTAGGGTTTAGGGTTTAGGGCTAGGGTTTAGAGTGGCCCTTTAGGGTTTAGGGTTTAGGGTTTAGAGTTTAGGGTTTAGGGTTTTAGGGTTTAGGGCTAGGCTTTCCGGTTTCGTGGCGATAGGGATCCCTCCCGCCCCCGGTGCCCCCCAAAGCTCCTCAAGCGGAGCTAAACCATAAGCCCTAAACCCTAAATCCCAAACCCTAAACCCTAAATCCAAAACCCCAAACCCTTAGCCTTAAACGCTAAACCCCAAACCCTTCATCCCGAACCCTAAACCCCAAACCCTAAACGCAATTCCCTAAACCCTAGAAACCCCAAACTCTAAACCCTAACCCCTAAACCCTAAACTCCAGCTCTCTAACCTAAGCCCTAAACCCTAAACGCTCAAGCCCTAAACCCTCAAGGCCTAAACCCTTGGAAGCAGCTGGCCGGGGTGGTTGGGCCGAGAGATTTGAAGGTTCATGTTCGTATAGGGCTTCTGGGTGTCTAAAGTTTAGGGGTTTGGCCCTGCCCTCCTCGCGGAAAAGGGCTTGCAAGCATACGATCGTCAGCCGAGGCCTTTAGAGTTCTACCCTCAAGCCTAAACCCTAAACCCTACACCCCAAACCGTAAACCCTGAACCCTATTCCCTAAACCCCAAACCCTAAACCCTACACCCTACGCCCTAAACCGAAGCATCCAAGCCCACCGGGCCAGGACGTCGTGAACAAGGTGACCGAGCAAAAACACCTCGTGGAGCGGGCGCGAGCCCCAGCAGGCGGAGGTTTAGGGTTTAGGGTTTAGGGTTTAGGGTTTAGGGTTTAGGGTTTAGGGTTTAGGGTTTAGGGTTTAGGGTTTAGGGTTCGGGAAGGTTTGGAGATGAAGGCCTCCTTTTTAAGCATGCAAGCAGGTACGTTGCGCACAGAGCTAGGGGCTGTCAAGGTCTGCCCGCATCACGGTGACTTACCATGCCTGCCTGGGGGTTTCCGAAATTAGGGGTACATTATTGGGGTCCTTATCATAAGGGAGTCCTACTATTTGCGGGATTATTTTGGGGGTCCCTTATTTTCGTAAACCCCCCACCTGAACCATGAATGTTTGTCAAGTACGGTTTAGGGTTTAGGGTTTAGGGTTTAAGGTTTAGGGTTTAGGGTTTAGGGTTTTGAGCTCTTCTTGTTGTGCGGCCGCCAGGGGACGGAAATAGGTTGCGAAGGATGCATGCGCGGCCTGAAGAAGCGGCTAGCATCGAACAGAAGGCTCCCTAAACCCGAAGCCCTAAACCCTAAACCCAAAACCCTAAACCCAAAACCCAAAACCCTAAACCCTAAACCCTAAGCCCTAAACCCTAAACCCCATTGCCCAAGGTGAAGAGCGGCCAGGAACTCATCCTGGAGACTCTGACGGGCTCCTCCGACTCGGCCAAGAAGGCTCGACTTGAGACTTCCGCTGAGTCATTGGGTTGATTAGGGTATAGGGTTTAGGGTTTAGGGTTTAGGGTTTAGGGTTTAGGGTTTAGGGTTTAGGGTTTAGGGTTTAGGGTTTTTCGGGTTGGGGTTTGGGGTTTGGGGTTTGGGGTGTGGGGTTCGGGCTTTTGGGTTTGGGGTTTCGGGAGGATCTTTGCAGTATGCAAGCCATGCACATGGACATGTCGGTTGCTCTCAGATGGGAAGTCGAACTGGCTTTCGCTGCCAAGGAGAGAGCACAAGTTTTTGTCTACATCCCACGCAATCCCCACACACCTTTGTGGTACTTTACGGCAACTTTAGATCCTTACCTTTTTTGGGTTTATTGGGTTTCTTATTAAGGCAGCAAAAAGTTTAATTTACAGCTACCCTCCTGAGTGCAGCCAAGACACCTTGAAAGACCGCTTCTGTCCATTCGGGGAAATGCCCAGATGGGGCCATGGGCCCCCGACTCATCAACGACCGGGCCACCTCCCGAGACTGATTTAGGGTTCGGGGTTTAGGGTTTAGGGTTTGAGGTTTAGGGTTTAGGGTTTAGGGTTTGAGGTTTGAGGTATGAGGTTTGAGGTCTAGGGTGGGTGTGGTGGGGCCCCGCAATCGTGCCCAGAAGCACGGGTCAGCGCAAAGCCTCCCAGGTGGCTTCGGGTTCAAGGGTTCGGGCTTCAGGTTTAGGGTTTAGGGTTTAGGGTTTAGGGTTTAGGGCTTAGGACAAAATCTTGGCACTTGGGCTCCCCTCTCCGGCAGGACCACAGGGTTTGGGAGTGCCCGGACTTATCGAGGTTTTGGGGTTAGGGCTGCTGCATATGGGGGGTTTACGAAAGTAAGGGACCCTTAATTTAGACCCCCGAATGGTAGGATCCCCTGAGAATGAGGACCTCAATAAGGTACCCCTAAGACCGTAAACCTATTTCTCTGGTAGGAGAGAGAGCCCCCCCCCCCCCCCCCCCCCAAAAAAAAAAAAGGGCACCGCTGATGTTGAGAACCCTCCCCCCCCCCCGCCTCTGCTGCGCAGGATTTGTTGGATTCCATGGAGAATTCCTCCAAGGCCAGTCGGAAGCCCCTAGACCCTAAACCCTAAACCCTTTCGGCTGGACGTGCGCGGTTTCGGGCTTGCGGGTTCGGCTTCCCGTCGAAACTCTTACCTGCTACTCCCACCTCATACTTTTGGCCACTAAAGCCCTTAAACACGGCACCTGCAGGCTCCTGGAAGTAGAGGGCTAAGCCTGAAAAGCTGAAGTGCCAAGCTTGATTGAGGGTTTAGGGTTTAGGGTTTAGGGTTTAGGGTTTAGGGTTTAGGGTTTAGGGTTTAGGGTTTAGGGTTTAGGGTTTAGGGTTTAGGGTTTAGGGAGATTTATTCGCCGAGCTGTCAGAGGTTTCAAGGGGATTTGCAATGAGAATTTCTACAGCCCAGAAGTATGGGATGGTGTCGGGTTTATGGAACTTTTGGGTGGCTTACAGCAATTGTGGGGCTTCAGAGGTAGGGTTTAGGGTTTAGAGTTTAGGGTCTATAGGGTTTAGGGTTTAGGGTTTAGGGTTTAGGATTTAGGGTTTAGGGTTCGGGTTTAGGGTTTAGCTGGGTTCACAGGGCTTATTGGCTTGAAGGGCCCCCAACATTCAGCAGGGGTTGTAAGGGCAAGTGAGGCGCTTGGGGTACAGCTCCGCTCTCTTCGGGGCCCTGACCGCCGCCCCCCCTCATGTTTCTTAGACCCTCAACCCTAAACCCTAAACCCTAATCCCTGAACCCTGAACCCTGAACCCTAAACCCTAAACCCTAAACCCGAAACCCTAAACCCGAAACCCTAAACCCTGTTGCATCGCGTCCTCCATGTTTCGCCAGGCTCTTCTCCGAAAGCTGGACACAAGCCAGCAGGACGTGCCTGTGGGCCGCGGGATTTGGGTTTAGGGTTTAGGGTTTAGGGTTTAGGGTTTAGGGTTTAGGGTTTAGGGTTTAGGGTTTAGGGTTTACGGTTTACGGTTTAGGGTTTGGGGTTTAAGGTTTAGGGTGTAGGGTGTAGGGTGTAGGGTTTAGGGTCTAGGGTTTAGGGTTTAGAGTTGCTTGCGTCACAAAAGAAAACTTAGTGGCTGAATGAGTACACTTTTTTTTTACACTTCTTGGGGTACTGTAATCCCTATAAAACTAAAAGTTTACACTTTTTGTGGGCTTATGAACTCGGCAACTAAGAAAAACCTCTGCACTGAACCCCGAAGTTCCAACCCCGAACCCCGCACACCTAGGGCCCTGACCCTGCATCTGCAAGGGAGACTAGGGGTCTTCACCCCTTCGCCCTCCACCCTCCGCCCTCCGCCCTCCGCCCTCCGCCCTCCGCCCTCCGCCCTCCGCCCTCCGCCAGCTGGGACGCAGGAGCTGCTGACAAAGCAGGGTGAGCAGCACGAGATCCTGGTCTCCGCCTGGGGCCTCAGCTCTAAAACCACCGCGAACCTGCAGCCAAGTTCGTCAACAACGGATGGAGCTGCATCGGGTGCCAGCCTGTCAGAGGTGCTGCTTCTGGTATTCAGACAGGTTCACGGTTGTGTCCAGGCAAAAGAACCCAAGCGGGTCTGATCCCACGAAGAGACGCAACGAACACGTCAACGTGATGGTCATCATCACAGTGTTCCTGTTTTCCGGAATCTGGCTGATCTCTTCTGGCTTCGGCCAACCCAGCTGCACGCCATTGACCAGCTGCAGCACAACCTTGATACCTCAACTCAGTTCGAGGTAATCAGGATCTGCGCGATCATGCTCCAAGGTCACAGGCGACGACGGAACACTGACAGTATGGTCAACTTTTGTCGAGGATACCATCTCGTGGCGGGACCATATATACGGACCTAAACCCTAGAATCCTAAAGCCCTAAAATCCTAAAACCCTAAGCTCCTAAATCCCAGAACCCCAAAGCCCCAGAACCCCAAAACCCCAAAACCCCACAACCCCACAACCCCCAAAACCCCCAAAACCCCAAAAACCCCAACCCCCCAAACCCCCAAAACCCCCAAACCCCCACAACCCCAAAACCCCAAAGCCCCAAAACCCCCAAAACCCCAAAATCCCAAAACCCCAAAACCCCCAAACCCCAAAACCCCAAAACCCCAAAACCCCAAAACCCCAAAGCCCAAAAACCCTAAAACCTTAAAACCCTAAACCTAGATTCAAAACCTTAAGCCCTAAACCCCTTAGAACCCCCGCCCCCCCCCCCCCCCCCCCCCCCCCCCCACCCAATTAGCGGCCCTGGGGCTTTAGGGTTTAGGGGTTTACGGTTTAGGGATTTTCAGGGTTTAGGGTTTAGGGTTTAGGGGTTTAGGGGTTTAGGGGTTTACAGTGTAAGGTTTGGGGTGGTAGCCAAGTGGTACGCATTTGCCTTTTGTTTGGTTCAATTTCCCTTTCTTTTCCCCTGTAAAGTAACCAGGCCCCCAAAAGGGCGCCCTTGTTACAAAATGGTTACCGGACTACTGAGAGTATCTGAACAACGTAAAGCATATTGAGGGTTAGGGTGAAACTCGGATTTTAGGAACCCTAAACCCTACACCCTACACCCTACACCCTACACCCTACACCCTACACCCTAAACCCTAAACCCTAAACCCTAAACCCTAAACCCTAAACCCTAAACCCTAAACCCTAAACCCTAAACCCTAAAACTAAACCCTAAACCCTAAACCCTAAACCCTAAACCCTAAACCCTAAACCCTAAACCCTAAACCCTAAACCCTAAACCCTAACCCTAAACCCTAAACCCTAAACCCTAAACCTTAAACCCTAAACCCTAAACCCTAAACCCTAAACCCTAAACCCTAAACCCTAAAACCCTAAACCCTAAACCCTAAACCCCAACAGAGGCTTTCAGCCCTGACCCTTGCAAGGTCAACAAGTCTCAGGGCACGCTGATGCAGAAGATCGACACCGGCAATGAGGCCATTTTCTGGGGGTTATTGGGGTTTAGGGTTTAGGGTTTAGGGTTGTTCGTTTAAGGTTCATGTTTTTGGGGTGTAGTTGGTTCGGGCGGTTCCGATGTCCTCCAGGGCTTCACTCGGCTTGCTGGTGCGTTACGCTTTTGGGGGCTTGGCGTTCTCGCTGTGAGAATCTGCATGTGGTTGTAAACTCACTGTAGGCACACCCTGAACCTAAACCCTAAACCCTAAACCCCAAACCCTAAGCCCTAAACCCTAAACCCTAAATATTCGGGACACCCTGAACCCCCAGCCGTAAGCTCAAACCAGAACCAGTGTCTCATGCCAAGAGGCCGCAGCACGCCGGGCTGTGGAGCAGGACTGTATAGCTCAAAAGGGTTGGTTTAGGGTTTAGGGATTTGGTTTAGGGTTTAGGGATTAGGGTTTTCCTTCTGAGTCAGTATGAGTTTGAACTATAGGTATCATGTCCTACAGTGTACGAGAACGTGCTATAATGTAGGGTTGAGGCTTCTGGGCGCTACGAACATTCTAGACTGTCGGAGACCAAGCCCCCCCACCCCTCCTCCCCCCCTCAATGGTGATGCAGATGCCCCTCCAAACTCCAAATTCTCAGAGGGCTTTGGTTGCATGGCTTTGGGGTTCGGAGTTGGGGGTGTTGGCTCTGTTTTTGTGGAGTGCAGGATTTTGGGGTCGGGGAGACAAGGCCCGCTGGCTGCATTGTCCTTGTCATTGTGGCTGCTGTTGAAATTGTTTTTGTTACCGTGGCTGTTCACCTGAGTAGTACCAGTAGTAGGTTTATTACGATTCTTGGTAGCCCAGTGGTACCTTTTTCCTTTTTTTGGTTCAAGGCTCGCTTATAAAGTAACCACCCCCCCCCCCCCCCCAAAAAAAAAAAAGGTGCCCTTATTGTAATGCGGCTACTGGGCTACCACGTATTGTTCTGATCAATGTCGTTCTGGTTGTCACTCCTTACTTGGAGGTTCATGGTACTTGTTAGCCTGTTATAACTGTACTTATGACCCACTTATAAGCCCCCTAAGTGCATGGTTATATTTGGGTTAATATTATCAGTACAGTTAGTATTGGGTTAACAGGTTAACAAGTACCCTGAACCCTAAACCCTAAACCCTAAACCCTAAACCCTAAACCCTAAACCCTAAACCCTAAACCCTAAACCCTAAACCCTAAACCCTAAACCCTAAACCTCCAAGTAGTTCCACAGGACTCGCACGTGGAGCGGAAGATGACGGAGATGCGCAAGGAGGCCGGCTCTGGGCTTCGTTCTGCTTGTGGGTTGGGATGTTCCCCCTTCCACAAACAGTCCTTAATAGGGACTGCAAGAGGGCTTAGGGTTTAGGGTTTAGGGTTTAGGGTTTAGGGTTTAGGGTTTGGGTTTAGGGACTCTAGTACCCCCCGATAAAAATCCCTATGAAGGACTGTTATTATAAGGGGGAACGTCCCGGGTCAGTTGCGCCCTCCGACGGTGGGGGGGGGGGGGGGGGCGGGGCACTTAGCCCTAAACCCCAAACCCCAAACCCCAAACCCCAAACCCCAAACCCCAAACCCCAAACCCCAAACCCCAAACCCCAAGGGAACCAAAAGCTCAGGTTTAGAGGTTCAGGCTCAGGGTTGGAGTATCTGAAGAGAGCCCCTTGAGGGGTCGATGGCCTTTCCTGCGCCCCTGGGTACCCCAACAGGTCCCAAGGACTATTCAGACCCCAAACTGACAGCCCGATTCGCCCAAACCCTAAACCCTAAACCCTAAACCCTAAGCCCTAAACCCTAAACCCTAAGCCCTAAACCCTAAACCCTAAGCCCTAAACCCTAAACCCTAAGCCCTAAGCCCTGAGCCCTAAGCCCTAAGCCCCGAAGCCCCTAAGCCCCTAAGCCCCTAAGCCCTAACCCTAAACCCTAAGCCCTAAGCCCTAAGTCCCAAGCTCTAAGCCCTAATCCCTCCAGATGTTGTGCCAGGTGGTGTCCACGTGCGACAATGCCGTGTCCCAAATCTCCAAGAATATTACCAGCGCTTCTTGGCCAACAACGGCTTAGGGTGTAGGGCACACCTACACCCCACACTCTACACCCGACACCGTAAATTCTAAACCCTGAATACTAAGCCCTGACGTCAACAATATACCCCAGGCTTCCATCAGCCCTCATGACCTCAGAACCTGAACCCCGCGCCCTAAACCTGGACTTGTAGGAACCTAAGGGGCTTTCCGGGTCTTTTAGGGTTCAGGGTTCAGGGTTCAGGGTTTAGGGTTTAGGGTTTAGGGTTTAGGGCAGACGGACTGATGAAGTCGGTTCGTCGAATGCGTGAGAAGAGTCACGACAGGTGCGCTAACCACGATAAACTAGAGTCGGTCAAGTATGCTTTGTACCTGTTGGCCCCTTGAACTATCTGTTCAAGCCAGGTTTGGGACGGTCGCCTAGGGCAGATAGGGTTTAGGGTTCAGGGTTTAGGCTTTCCCGGAGCTTTTCCTGGCTTCAGAGCATTTCGGGCCTTGGGGGGCGACATCTTCGGTGGGGAGCTGAATGCCCCAAAACCTTTAAATTAGAAACCCTAAGAACCCTCAAACCCCTAAAAACCATCAAAAACCCTAACAAGCTCTTAAAAGCCCCTAAGAAACTCTTAAAAACCCTAAAGCCCCTAGAAACCCCAAAAACCCCTTTGACCCTCACCTTCTGGTCCTCAGGAGATGCACAAGCTGGGTTCGCAGAACACGAGCACCACGGAGCTCTTCCAAAATGGCATGGCCTCCCAGGCCCCTGTTCTTGTTTCTTTTTTTTTCGCAGCTGGGTTTAGGGGTTCAGGGTTTGGGGTTTCGGGTTTAGGGTTTACGGTTCGGGGTTTGGGGGTCGGTGCTTGGAATCGGATGCCATCACCTGAAACCCTATCATAGCCCTGAAGCCTTGCGGGCTCTGAAGCGGGAGATGATCGTCCATCTTCAATATTCCATGGGAAGCCCTAAACCCTAAACCCCAAACCCCAAATCCCAAACCCCAGACCCTAAAAACGCCCAACACAGTTGTCCACCCATTGATGACCTAGGAAATGTGGGTGGACTCAGGAGCTTCGAGGTTTTTTTTTCGCCGCGCAGAAGCAGCCTACCAGAAGGGTTTAGGGTTTAGGGTTTGGGGTTTGGGGTTCAGGGTTCAGAGTTTAGGGTTTAGGGTTTAGGGTTGAGCTGAATTGCCAGAGTCGAGAGTCCAGCGAGAGAGCGCAGGAAGAGCGCATGGCCGACGTGCGCCGACAGAACATGATGATCATGGACATGCTCTCGGGCACCCAGGCGCGTTGGTTTAGGGTTTAGGGTTTAGGCCTTACAGGGTTTAGGGTTTAGGGATTAGGGTTTAGGGATTAGGGTTTAAGGTTCTAGGGTTCTAGGGTTCTAGGGTTCTAGGGTTTAGGGTTTAGGGTTTGGGGGGGGGGGGGGGGGCAGACCCGAAAGACCCTTCAACCCTAAAACTCCGAAGAACCCTAAGAACCCTCAAATATCAGAATCCCTAAGAACCACAAAATTCCCTAGAGTCCCTTAAGCCCAGAACCCTAAACACCACTCCTAACAGCACTAGACCCGAAACCTCCATCAACCCGAAGATGCGATGCGGTAGTTTCAGGGGCCCTTTATAATGGTCCCTTACATTCTTCAAAGGGTTCTGAAGTATGGGCCCTTGGGTTGTTTTGGGTATATAGGGGGGGTCCCATTAACCCTAAACCCTAAACCCTAAACCCTCAACCCGGGGGTGCGGAAGGAGTCCCCCTTTAAGGGCCCATATGAAGGGACCCTGTAGCTACCTCAGACGGAAGGAGCGGGTGATGCAGTCTGCCGCCCGGGCCCCGGCCGGGGCTTCCTGGGCCCTTGAGTGAAAGGCACAGTCTCATGGATTTTTGGGGTATTGAGGGGTTTAGGGGCTTGAGGTTTAGGGTTTAGGGTTTGGGTTTAGTGTTTTTTTCAGGGTTTGGGGCCTGGCAGGGTTTAGGGGTTGCGGTTTGGGGGTTGAGGGTTTCGGGTCTAGAGGTTTCCGGGTTTAGGGCTTAGGGGTTTAGTTTAGTGTTTTTTCCGGCTTAGGGTTTGGTGTGAGGGTTTCGGCTTTAGAATTGCGGGGGTTAGGTTTGAAGTTGGGGTTCTGGGATCTGATAAGGTAGCATGTGGGGCAGCGGCATGAGGTTTGAAGTGTAGCCCAAGAGAAGGGTTTATTTGGGGTTTAGGGTTTAGGGTTTAGGGTTTGGGTTATAGGGTTTGGCCCTTCTGGGTTGAGAGGGTCCTAGACCCTTGGCTGCCGCTGTACCGAGGAAAACATCCAGAGCTTCACTCGCTTGGACCTCGCTGCCAGCTACCAGCTGGATCAGGCACCCTCAGTGCGAAACCCGAAGCCTAAACCCAGGGTTTAGGGTTCAGGGTTTAAACTCCAAACTTGGGATGTTCCCTCTTATACTAACAGTCCTTAATAGGGGTTGTAGTACCCCTATTACCATCCCTATTAAGGACTGTTAGTATAAGAGTTACGGATAGTGGCAGAGCAATCACGTTTGGAGACGCAGTTTGAGGATACAAAGAGGCTCATGGATGCAGCACTTTGGGGGGGGGGGGGAGGGGGGGGGAGGGGTGTCCTTAAGAAAGGGATGTCGGGTTTCAGGGTTTTACCACGCCAAAGTGCGACACCAGCCCCTGGAAACGACGGGATCTAGGGTTCAGGGTCCTGAAAACGCTAAACCCTGAGCCCTAAACCCTAAACCCTAAACCCTAAACCCTAAACCCTAAACCCTAAACCCTAAACCCTAAACCCTAAACCCTAAACCCTAAACCCTAAACCCCAAACCCCAAACCCTAAACCCTACATTCCCTAAACCCTAAATTACCCAAAAGGCGAAGCTGGAGGTGGAGATGCGCAATGCGACCCGGTTTAGCTTGGGTTCAGGGTTGCAGGGTAGGCCCCTTGGGATGTGGGTTTAGGGTTTAGGGTTGAGGGTTGAGGGTTGAGGGTTGAGGGTTGAGGGTTTAGGGATCTATTTTCCCCTGTTGCTTTTCAGAGAATCATACTTCGGAAAATTTTTCCAAGGGTTTTGAGGGCCAACATAGGTTACCCCGGCCTGTTTGTTGTCTTTGCAGTCGCCGTACAACTTTTCCTTCTCAGGATCATTTTAGAGAAAGTCCCTAAGATCGCGCGTCCTTGAGCTTGAAACTGCTTGTCGTTAAGCTGCAGCCCTATCTCGTTCAGCCTCTATATCTGCATCGACTGCCGCAGCTGAGTAGCCACAGGGCTTCCCATAGCCACACAGTAAGGAATTAGGCCCAGCGAGCCCCAATGTGGGTGCTTCCCAATGGTGGTACCTGTTAGTATACCCGAAAATTCCAGAGTGCTTATTGTAGCACGCCCCCCTCCCCCCCCCCACCAAAGGGTCCCCGTATATTCGGAACCCCCCCTCTTTTGAGTCAATCAACACAAGAGGGCCTAGGGTTTAGGGTTTGGGGTTTGGGGTTAGCACCCAAAAACAAACCCTCCACACTAACCTCAAAGCCTGAAGCCCAACCTAGTCAGACCCCTCAAAAACCCTCGAAACCTCCAAACGCTCAGAAACCCTCTAAAAGCCCTAAACATTGAAGCCTCTAAAGCCTCTAAAGCCACACAGCCTCTAAACCCTCTAAACCTTCTAAACCTTCGAAACGCTCAGAAACCCTGTAACCCCTCTGAAAAAGTAAACCCTAAGCCTCTAAAGCTTCTAAAACCTCCAACCCTAAGAAACCCTCTAAACCCTCTAAGACCCTAAACCCTAAAGCCTCTACAGCCTCTAAAGCCCTAAACCCTAAACCCTAAAACCTAAACCTAAAGCCTCTAAAGCCCCAAGCCCAAGAAAGAAGACCCAGGTGGTGGCCAATGAAATGGCGCACATGCGGTCTGAGCTCGAGCGACCTTGGCTGCAGGGCTTCGGGTTTCAGGGTTCAGGGTTCAGGGTTTAGGGTCTAAGGGTTTAAGGGTTTAGGGTTTTAGGGTTTAGGGTTTAGGGTTTTAGGGTTTAGGGTTTTAGGATTCAGGTCTTTGGTTCCAAAACCTCGAGCGCTTAGGGTTTTAGGCTTGGAGGATTCCGGGCTAAGGTCTTAGGCTTAGGGTATTGAAGCCCCAGAACTGTGAATGATGGCGCGCGCACTTGAGACCTGATGAAGTCAGGGAGGCCTCGTCTTATAGTGGCCTATCCCAAGGTGAGCTTACACTTGAGGGGTTCGGGGTTCTTGGAGGTGGTAGAGACTGTTAGAGCTTCAAGGAATGCGATCGCTTCTTGATGCTAGGATGCCCAGCAGTACCGTCATTTACCTTTTCAGTGGCTTGGAGAGAGAGAGAGAGAGAGAGAGAGAGAGAGAGAGAGAGAGCAGAAGCCGGAAGCCGAGACGAATACTCAAAGGCCCTATGCGCGAGGGTGCCATGGAACCAGGTCCAATACCCAAGAACCCAAGATCCTGAAGGACGATCATGCTGGGAAGCGATGGACATGAGGACGACGAAGGCAACTCCTTCCCATCAGAAGGGTTTTGACCGTTTTGATGCCAAGTTGATTTTGGATTTAGGGTTCAGACCAATTATCTTGGGAGGCGGGATTCTCTGGGAACGAGTTTGACCAGCATCTCGCGGATACTGTTCCTACGTAGTCATGCAGGCTCCCGTTACGTGAGCGAGCTGCTGCTGTAAGTGTACTTGTGCTCAGTGTGGGAGAACGCCGGCACAACAGAAGGGAAGAAAGGGGACTTCTGCTCCTGAAGCGATCCCCAACCCCAAGCCCGAACCTGTGAACTAACCCTAACATGCGCAGAAGAGCTTGCTCAAGGCTCTCAGCACCCCCTTTTTCCTGGGGAGGCCCGCGTTTTCCCGAAACCCTGAAGAGAAGCCCCCCCCCCCCCTGGAAACCCAAGGGTTAGCCTTTTCCCTATAGACAAAAAAATCCCTGAGCACCTGCCTGAACCAAAAACCCGAAGCACTGAACCCCCAACCCTCAACCCCAAACCCCAAACCCCAAACCCCATATCCTCAACCCTAAACCCCAAACCCTAAACCCCAACCCTAGACAACCCGAAAGGCCGTGTGAACCTGGGTGCCATCTTCGCTTCGGCTGCCGACCGCCTCGAGAATGCGGCGAAGCAATTCGAGACCAAGGCCTCCTTTCCTAGGCGTTCTTCTGAGATTGAGGGTTTAGGGCTTTGAGGTTTTGGGCTCTAGGGATTTGGTTCAGGGTTGTAGGGTTTTGGGGTTTTAGGGTTGTAGGGCTTTAGGCCCCCTGGGCTGCCCTACGGTGCCTCGGTTCCCGCCATGGAGGGGTGGCGGGTCGCCTCAGCGCGCAGGGAATCCCACCCGACCACTCAATGGGGCTTGTGGTCGGGTATTCAGCAAACCCTAGACCCTAAACCATAAACACCAAATACCAAATACCAAACCCCAAACCCCAAACCCCAAACCCCAAACCCCAAACCCCAAACCCCAAACCCCAAACCCCAAACCCCAAACCCCAAACCCCAAACCCCAAACCCCAAACCCCAAACCCCAAACCCTGCACCCTAAACCCTAAACCCCAAACCCTAAACCCTAAACCCTAAGCCGCAATCTTGAGCACCACAGAGAGCCCGAAGTCCCCCCGCTTCATCCCAGTGAGCCTGATATTTCATGCTTGCCTCTAGGTCCCCTCGCGGGGGGTACATTATTGCTTTTCTTTGGTGTTCGTTCAAAGGTTTAGGGTTTAGGGTTTAGGGTTCAGGGTTTAGGGTTTAGGGTCAGGGTTTAGGGTCCGGGTATTGACTTGCGGGCTAGGTTCCCTTCAACAAGCGGGTTTCCTCTCCCCGAGTTAAGTACTGCGGAGCCTGCGCAGTGCCTTTCTTTGTTGGCGCTTTGGGTTTAAGGTTTCGGGTAGGGTTTAGGGTCGAGGGTTTGGATTTTTAGGGTTTAGGGTTTAGGGTGTAGGGTGTAGGGTTTAGGGTTTAGGGTGTAGGGTTTAATTCGGGTTTAGGGGTGTCGCAGGGATGAGCTCCAGCGCTGCATGGGGTTTCGGGTTTGGAGTCAAGAGGTTTCAGGGGTCCGGATGGGCTGTAGGACATTGGAAGGGCACTCGGGAGGCTTTGCTTTCTGAGTACTAGCCGAAGCCAATGCCGTCAGGTGGAGAATGTCAAGTCTCTCGGACAGCGATTATTGCGTCTGTCATTGTTCTAAACCTCAAGCCCTAAGCCCTAACCCCTAACCCCTAACCCCTAACCCCTAAACCCTAAACCCTAAACCCTAAACCCTAAACCCTAAACCCTAAACCCTAAACCCTAAACCCTAAACCCTAAACCCTAAACCCGAAACCCGAAACCCGAAACCCTAAACCCTAAACCCTGCCCCCCAGGCGCTGGCCGGTGAACTGGCGGATGCCAGCGCTCGACTGGAAGCCCAGTACCGGCGGATCCACACTCGGGAAGTGCAAGCTTTGGAGATGCGCCAGCAGCAGCTCCCTTTCACACCTCCGCCGCGCCCTCCGCCGCGGGACCCCGAGCAGGGAGCCCCGCTGCCAGGCGCAGATACCTGGGAAATTTAGGACCAAAAAGCCGAAAGTGGGCCGCCACAAAGGCCATACGCTATGATGACCTGCGATTATTGCGTCTGCCAGGGTTCATTGTCATTGTTCTAGACCCTAAGCCCCAAGCCCCAAGCCCTAAGCCCTAAACCCTAGCCCTAAACCGTAAACCCTAAGCGCCAAGCCCTAAACCCTAAACTACCCTATTACCCTGTACCCTATACCCTAAACCCTAAACCCTCTACCCTATACCCTATACCCTATACCCTATTACCCATTACCCATTACCCTAAACCTTAAACTCTACACCCTACACCCTACACCCTACACCCTACACCCTGCACCCTACACCCTACACCCTACACCCTAAACCCGAAACCCTAAACCCTAAACCCGAAACCCGAAACCCGAAACCCGAAACCCTAAACCCTAAACCCTAAACCCCAAACCCCAAACCCTAAACCCTAAACCCTAAACCCTAAACCCTAAACCCTAAACCCTAAACCCTAAACCCTAAACCCAACCCGAAACCCAACACCTTCATGAAGCTTCAGGAACCTCAGCCCCTGGGCCCTCAACCCCAGAATGACGGGTATCCCCAGACCCTAAACCCGAAACCCTAAGCCCTCAACCCTAAACCCTAGACCCTATTCTCTCTAAACCCTATTCTCCCTAAAGCCTAAACCCTAAACCCTAAACTCTTTAAATGAGGCCTGGGGAGACGGCGGACAGTAACGTTGAAGAGGCAGTCGTGGGCTGGGGGCTTTCAACGGAAGGTCAACCCACACCTACTAGGACCCAGAGAGGGCCCTTTTTCCCTTGTTGTAAGGTTTGGGTTCCCTTATATGCCCATTTAAACCAAACAGGGCACCCTTTTATTATTCCTGGGTTACTCTTGAGTCTAGACTAGGTAGGACCTTGGGATATACCGTTTTAGGGTTTATGGGGTTTAGGATTTCGAGTTTTGGGGTTTAGGGCTTAGGGTCAAGGATTTTGGGTTTTGGGGGGTATGGCCTAGGGTCATTTTTTCGGGTTTCGAAGGATCCCATGGTGTGGGAGGGTTTTGAGGGGGCCCGGGCGGCCAGCCGAAAAACTTGAGGTTACACATGGAAAGAGTTTGTGTCTCCTCAATTTCTGAAGCTCTAAGTGAACCCCTAACCCCAAACCCCAAACCCCAAACCTCAAGCCCCAAGCCCCAGGCCCCAGACCCCAAGCCCCTAACCCCAAACTCTAAACCCAAAAGCATCAGCCGTCTCACTTATATTGATCGCATTGACTCCAAGTCCGTGTCAACTCTAAACCCAAAACCCCAAACCTCAAACCCCAAACCCTAAACCCCAAACCCTAAACCCTAAACCCTAAACCCTAAACCCCAAACCCCGAGCTTAGAGCGCACGTTCCCTATCGACCTAGGGTCGAATGCAGAGCCTTTCTGAGGCTTAGTTTGGGTTTTGACCGGGCGCTTAAAGCCGGCTTAGCCTCAGAGCAAAGGGGTTTAGGGTTTGGGATATAGGGTTTAGGGTTTAGGATATAGGGTTTAGGGTTTAGGATATGGGGTTTAGGGTCTAGGGCTCAGGGTTCTAAGCCTTTGGCCCTAAATTCCAAGCCTCAATCAGATCGAGACTGGCCCCGAGAACCTGACAAGCCCAACGCTCAACCCGGGGGTTAGGCCCCCAAGTCCCATTAAAACCCTAAACCCTAAACCCTAAACCCTAAACCCTAAACCCTAAACCCTAAACCCTAAACCCTAAACCCTAAACCCTAAACCCTAAACCCTAAACCCTAAGCCCAAAAGAGCCCCCTTTTGTTCTTCCAGGTTACGTACTGTGTCCCAAGCGAGGCAAGATTGGCTGCAGCGCCCCAAACTGCCAAGAAGCCCTAACGTTCTAAGCCCGAAGCCCTCTACGCTAAACTTGCTGTTCAGGGGCAGGGACATGCAGGAGTCATTGCAATATTACTAGTGCTTGTACCCAAAAGCCCCACAACCCTAAGCCCTAAACCCTAAACCCCAACCCTAAACCCTAAACCCTAAACCCCAAGCCGTAAACCCTAAACGAAACCCTAAACCCTAAACCCCAACCCTAAACCCTAAACCCTAAACCCCAAGCCGTAAACCCTAAACGAAACCCTAAACCCTGAACCCTAAACCCTAAAAAGCCACTTCTCCGGCAGGTGGTCCGCCGCGAGATCGCCGCGGCGGCCATGGCCCTGGCGCAGCAACAGCGCGAGTCGCCTGGCAGCGGCTCCAGGGATTTTGGGATCGGGGTGTTGGATGGTTTTGGTTGGGTTTGGGGTTTGGGGTTTAGGGTTTGGGGTTTAGGGTGTGTTACGTTCTGGGTTGCTCGCTGGGCTCCGGGGCCTCACCTCATTTTCTCCTAACCGGCCCCTCTGCCCGGGTCGCTCGCAACATCGCGTGGCGGTAGGCCCACCCCAAGCCACCCTGCATATTTATTTTTAGGGCTCACGCTGTTTCAGCACTGCCCCGATCTGAGCCTCGCGGGAGCAGGGCTGCAAAGAGATGGAGTTTTGGCAGCGCTCCCTTCACCAAAACGAGGCTGTGAAAAGGTCGCGGGGGGTAGCCCTTCATCAAAATCGGGCGTGCTTCTTTGTCTCACATATTGGCTTGGGTTACCGCAGGGGCACCGCTGCCCCTCGACCGGGCCAGTGTCCCGACCGTTTGCATCCCTAGTCACGACACAAAACGGTTTGGGGTTACCGCAGGGCTCTGCTTTGGCAGAAGCCCAAAAAGGTCCAGAAATGGTCCAGGAGAAGCCCAAAAGAAAGGCTCAGAAATGGTCTGGGAGAAGCCCAACAAGCTCAGAAATGGTCTGGGAGAAGCCCAAAAAAGGCTCAGAAATGGTCTGGAAAAAGCCCACAAAGGCTCAGAAATGGTCTGGGAGAAGCCCGGGAGAAGCCCACAAAGGCTCGGAAATGGTCTGGGCAAAGCTTACAAAGGCTCACAAATGGTCTGGGAGAAGCTTTAAAATGGTCTGGGAGAAGCCCTCAGAAATGGTCTGGGAGAAGCCCAAAATCCTGGGGGGGGGGGGGCAGGTTGCCCCGGCAAATTGTCTTGGTTCTTTACCTTTGACACACAAAGGCTAGGCCGCCTTGACGGCCAGTGTGGGCCTTACCTTGCCTTAGAGCGTCCAGCAGCCCCAGCTTTACCTGGGCTGCACGTTCAGTGCTCTCACGTCGCTCGCGGAGCTCGGACGGCTTCGGGCTCTCTCGTGTTGGTAGCGAGCCCTCAGCAAAGACTTTAGGGTTTAGGGTTTCGGGCTCAGGGCTTAGGGTTTCGGGTTTAGGGTTTAGGGTCGTTTTAGGGCTTTAGGGTTTTTGAGGCTTGTTTGAGGGTCTAGGCTTTTTGGAAGTTTGCGGCGGGGGTGGAATCATTTCGGGTGTTTGGTTTCGGGGCGGAAAAACCTTGAACCCTAAACCCAAGAATGTGTTGGGGTCCCTTGTGATAGGGTACAGTATCCAACAAGGCACCGTACTTTCAGAGAGCAAGGACGTCTGTGAAAAGGACTCTGTCGGTAGTGTCTAGGCTTGCTGTAGAGTTCAGATGTAGGCGATGTAGGTATTTATACCCCCCAAAATACTGTAGTCCATTTTGCCGGAGCCCCGAAACGTACCCCCTATGTTGGGACATGCCTCTGTAGGGTTCAGGGTTTGGGACTCTGGCTGCGGGCTTCTGGGGGTCTGTTCTAGGGTTTAGGGTTTAGGGTTTAGGGTTTAGGGTTTAGGGTTTAGGGTTTAGGGTTTAGGGTTTAGGGTTTAGGGTTTAGGGTTTAGGGTTTAGGGTTTAGGGTTTAGGGTTTAGGGTTTAGGGTTTAGGGTGAAACCCGGCAAAGCTCGCAGGGCCAAAAAGGGTTTAGGGTTTCGGGTTTAGGGGGAGCTTCGGCAGTGTGGTGCTCTCGCAGCCAGGATTGCCGAGCAGCACGTTGGCCAAGTTCGCGACGAGGCTCCCGGGCCCCAGCCCGAAACCCTGAGCCCTGAACTCTCAATCTAAGGTTGGAGCCATGGGCCCTGAGTACGGCCCCTTACCCTTGTTTTTAGGGATCCGAAGTATGGGCCCTCAGTATATAATTTACAGTGTATATTTGGGTTATTTTACGAGGGACCCAAATTAAGTGCCCATACTTGGAACCCTTAAGCCTAAACCTTCAACCCTCTGCAATCCCCAAACCCCTTAAGGCTCGAGCCCTGAACCAGGTCCTTAGACAAAACTGGGGTTTAGGGTTTAGGGTTTAGGGTTTAGGGTTTAGGGTTTAGGGTTTAGGGTTTTTGTGGTTTTAGGGTATCATGGCGACGCACGACAGCGATATCTCACACAGTTGAAAGGCGCCGTGGTGACGCACCAACAGCGATATCACACCGTTGAAAGACGCCGTCGCCAGCAACAAGCGCGAAATGTTTGCGGCTTTCGAGCAGTGCTTTTCAAAAAGCTGAAACGCTGATCGCGCCAGACGCCTGTAATGATCCGCCAATGCTGGGGTTTCAGGGTTTAGGGTTTAGGTGTTAGGCCAAAATTCCAACAGGGAAAGGTTACGGGGGCTTGCCGCCTTAGAGGTGTGATGAAAAAGAAGTACGTAGCCTTAGCAGATCTTCAGGTTTTGGGGGGTCTGGGGTCTAGGGTTCAGGGCTTATAAGGTTTTTGGGAGGTTTTTCGGGTTATTAGAACCCTGATAAGTAGTATTTTGACGGCCTTCATTACCTAGACGCGTGTTAGGATGCCCCAACCAAACATTCACCCACCAACCCCTAACCCCTAATCCCTAACCCCTAACCCTTAACCCCTAATCCCTAACCCCTAAACCCTGAACGCTAAACCCTAAACCCTAAACGCTAAACCCTCAACCCTTAACCCTAAACCCTAAACCCTAAGCCCTAAACCCGAAACCCTAAACCCTATACGCCCTCCCACCTCACAACTTGCCCGCAGGTGGCACAGAGTGTCCGTGGAGAGCTCAAGGAGACGACGCAGCTGCCGGGTAGCGCTTGAGCCCTAAACCCTAAACCCTAAA